CACCGCAGTAGTTTGAGCTGTAACAGAATAAGACGGGATGAAACATGGAGAATGAATTTGTTTGGGCTCTGCTTTAGCATCCAGCTCCTGGTTCAAAAGGCTTTATGTAATAACATCAGTGATAAGCGTTGCCGTATTTTGATTTAAGTCCATAAAGTTATACAATCTTTGTAATGTAAAATGTACAGCAGTACTATTGTACATAGTGGTCCCTAGCATGGTGATCTACCTTCAGTTGCTGGTGGTCACTAGCCCGTTTTATATATTGTATTGTCTGTCCTATTTGTATAATTTTATAAGTTACTTGCTAGTTTTACTTCTCTCTCTGTGATAATCTAGTTATTTTACTGTCCTTCGTCGACAGGTTTTGTATAATTTAATTGCGTTTATTGTTAATTTATAACTTTTTAAGTCATAATATGGCTGATATATTGCCGTCTTACAAGCACTTAGCTTCAGGGTTGCTGCACGTGCTCACTTCGCATGGGTCGACGAAACAGTAGACCATGGAGCTGCCGTCTGGGCACACTCGGACATTCCTACCCGACACTGGAGACAAACAAAGTGGAAGCAACTTGTACATCTTTTCATCATTTTACGAAGACTCTGATCCAAGGTCTGATCCATTTACCGCCTATTTCTAGATCTTGTAATTAGCAGCACGTGTGAAGGTGGGGCCATTTCTCTATTTAACATGGAATGACATTAACCCTTAAATAGCTACACATCACAACATCTTCAGCAACACATGATTATGGTATGGTGTAACTGAAGACAGCCATAATCTGAGCATAATGTAAGTAGATGCTCTGGTTTAGTAATTCACAGGCCATATGAATTGGAATATTTCTTGTAGCAATATGTAGGTAAGGCAGATGCTGTCTTAAGCTGCATCAAATAACGCGATGGAACTTGACACAAAATGAAAGGATTGTGTTGCATCGGGACACACATTAACATACACAAAACATTAATATTAAAATTATGAAAAATAATGGATCATTGATTCATCGTACGTCTTGCCACGATGTCACAAATCCACACGTGAACAATTTGTTTTAACATCATATTAGTCGTAGAATCAGTCATGAATCATGTACTAAGAATGACAAAAATCCCCCTCATAATCTTCCAGGTCAAATACATTTTGAGCTCAAATAATGAATAATAATGATAAGGAAAGGACCACACGCCCATCTTCTCCCACCGTGTGGACCCGGGCATAATCGGTCCTCAGCACCCTACTGCTGGGGGCACTCATGAAGAGCATCCTCGTGGTGAGTGCTGTAACACTGGTAGCTTTTCCCCCGTGTTGACCCCTCATGATCTCAGTTGTTGATCGTTGTACTGAGATTTAGCCATCAGTTAAATGACAAGCATGCTACAATTTGAGACCCAGTAAACCTAATTTACCTGGAATGTATTGGGACTAACACGCCCTCTCAGGAGGGCAATAATTTTAAAATATCATAACAGCTTATGAGCATGATTATATTAACATGAAATTATCTTAGTTCACTAGGCAGTATACAACCAAGCTGCCTGTGAGGTCAACAGTATACAACCAAGTTGCTTGTTAGGTCAACAGTATACAACCAAGCTGCCTGTGAGGTCAACAGTATACAACCAAGCTGCCTGTTAGGTCAACAGTATACAACCAAGCTGCTTGTGAGGTCAACAGTATACAACCAAGCTGCCTGTGAGGTCAACAGTATACAACCAAGCTGCCTGTTAGGTCAACAGTATACAACCAAGCTGCCTGTTAGGGTAACAGTATACAACCAAGCTGCCTGTGAGGGTTACAGTATACAACCAAGTTGCCTGTTAGGGTAACAGTATACAACCAAGCTGCCTGTTAGGTCAACAGTATACAACCAAGCTGCCTGTTAGGGCAACAGTATACAACCAAGCTGCCTGTTAGGTCAACAGTATACAACCAAGCTGCCTGTGAGGTCAACAGTATACAACCAAGCTGCCTGTTAGGTCAACAGTATACAACCAAGCTGCCTGTGAGGTCAACAGTATACAACCAAGCTGCCTGTTAGGTCAACAGTATACAACCAAGCTGCCTGTTAGGTAAACAGTATACAACCAAGCTGCCTGTGAGGTCAACAGTATACAACCAAGCTGCCTGTGAGGTCAACAGTATACAACCAAGCTGCCTGTGAGGTAAACAGTATACAACCAAGCTGCCTGTTAGGTCAACAGTATACAACCAAGCTGCCTGTTAGGTCAACAGTATACAACCAAGCTGCCTGTGAGGTCAACAGTATACAACCAAGCTGCCTGTGAGGTCAACAGTATACGACCAAGCTGCCTGTGAGGTCAACAGTATACAACCAAGCTGCCTGTGAGGGTAACAGTATACAACCAAGCTGCCTGTGAGGGTTAAAGTAACAATACCATCACATCCTTCCGATATACATGTATTAATATTCTAGACTTTCACCTCCTTTTGACCTAAGGCAACTGATTTCAGCGAATAGTGGCTGAGGCCACAGATAAACATGGTCTGGTCTATGAAGGGCCAAGTCTCACGAGTAGGAGTGGTACCGTGTGATCAAATTTACGCACCTGGAATATTCAGATTCCACAATCGTGAATATTACAACCCGACCCGGAGTTAAAAAAGCAAGTGTGTTAAATGAACCAAGTACCTGCGATAAACAGTGCCGACAAAAAAGCAGCAAGGACGAGAGACTTCATTATTGCTCCTACTTTGTATCAGATCTGATGATAGTGGTCAGCGTACTGTGGTTTAACAGGCAGGATCACTGCAGGTGTGTTCAGAGGTAACAACCAATCAGTTAGGAACACGCTACCACCAACTCAGGGGACATTGCCCCTGTCATGGCTGAACTTGATACATACTGGACAAACATATATGTAAATTTTGAAATTATGAATACTGATCTATTTATTCATTGACACTGATAAAATATTAATCATAAAAACAAAAATATCCCTAACTTATTTTGTCCAGTATATGTCGGTAGCAGGTACAACCCATGGGGCAAGAGATTCTTTTGAGAACATCTAGTGTCAGATTCTGATTCCAAAAGGTGAAGGTCATCTGATCCACAGCACAGTACACAAATCGAAAACATAAAGTACACTTTCAAGCAAAGGAGTGTGTACAAAACGCTTGCCAGTTAAAACAATAATTGTAAAGTTTAAAATTGGAATAATTTTGATGCATCCAACATAGAATAAACAATTGTTGGGTATACATGCATGGCCATATTACATTTTACTGCATAACTCAGGAAATATCTATACGTTGCCAGCAACTGAAGATATATCACCATCCTAGGAACCATGGGGACAGTGCTTTTGCTACCTGGATAGACCCTAGCTGGATTGATGCAATCCGTTCAGCCGTTGGCGATTGTACTCTAATTAGCCAAACCTTAAAAAAACCCATACAATATGCGATTAAACCACGAAAGATGACAAATTCTTTCAACAAAATGGAACTTACATACCCTCTGTAGAGGCAGACGTTTTACGCAAACGTAAAACCCCCTTTGACGTTACAGCCAGTAACAATCAAAGTGTATTCATTCGACCAAGATTTACTCATTAACTACACCACCCGTGAAGATCCGGGTAAGAATTGATCTTCAGCAACACAGGCTTGTTGTAAGAGGCGAGTAACGGTATCGGGTGGTTAGACTCGCTGACTTGGTTGACGCATGTCATCGTAGCCCTATTGCGTAGATCGATTTTCGTGGTGCTATGACTTTTTCTGCTTTTAAATGACAATGTAATGAATATATGTTTTTGAAATAAAACTCATTCCGAGTATGTACTTACAATGTTTATTAATGCAAACTTGTTCTCGTCACTATATGGCTGGAATAATGCCGGTGATACGCAAAACCCAACTCAACTCAACTCAACTCAACTCATGTTAACTGTCAGGGTAAGTATAGCCTTAAAGAAACGGCCATCCCTTAGGCTTAATTACAATATCTTTGCTGTATCTTGGAACATGTTCCTGTCAGTTGCTGAAACTATCACCGAAACACAGTCGCTATCTCTGTAGAACAGTGCCAGCTCAACAAGTAGGCGGCTGATAAGCTATGGGGGACTTTGGTACATCTTTCAGGACAGAGAGCCGCAAACATTTCAAAGCCAAATCCATAAGATAAACCATGATAATATTTAGGAATTTGAAGAGGCTGGTTTGTATACATCGTGGAGACAGTGGAGTAAAATTCATTAAATAATGTCAGAAACATGGAGATATGAATGATTCAACAAGGTCGCCATGGTGGAGTGAGCGATCGAGTTATTAAACTGACTTGAAATGTTTTGGGACTTACGTAGTCCCCATGGTGGACATAAAGTATATTGAATGTGTGCAATCTGTTTTTTATGACTTACGAGTGGGAACTATAAAGCCGATCCCGGTGTGTCAATTATTTTTTGTTGTTTAACACCGCATGTAGCAATGTCCCAGCTGTATAAATCGACTATGGATGACACAATCCAGTGGTCAACATAACGAGCATCTACCCAACTACTGGGGTACGATGACATGTGTCAACCAAGTCAGCGAGCCTGACCACCCGATCCCATTAGTCATCTCTTGCGACAAGCATTGGTTGTTAATAAAGATTAATTGCAATCAGGATCACAACGGATGAATGCATGCTGCTATAGTGTATATAAATGATTATTAAAGTGTGCAATCAGCTTGTTATGACTTACATCATGTGTGGTGCCAACATGATCATATATGGAGCTTTCCTTCTGTTGTCATTTTAGTCCTTGAAACTGTGACAGGAAGACATGCAAGTACACCACATTCATAAGTTGTTTTTGTTTAAATAACGTTTTGCCCTTACCGTTCAATTTTACATAGTTGTTCCTACATACACTTGCACTTCAAGATTTTGGGGGAACTGATTTCAGTCTGGTGACGTTTGGATAACATTTGTAATTGTTTGATCATTGTTGTCAAGTACATGCATTTTTTGCCCGGTAGAGTACAGACAAAGTGTAGTTTGTATGCGACGCACAGAGATAAGCTGCTTCTATACGTCACTGTTTGTTCAGTTCAAGATGGCGGTTTCTCATGTCCTTGCGGTCTTTGTGTTGCTGGGAACCTGTAAGTATTTCCAAACAAAATGAAAACAAAATCTGTTGAAATGTACAGTTACTCTATATAAAAAAACAGAAGGAGAGTGCAAATTGGAAGTATTTATGTGTGAGCTAAAAGGATAAGCATGTCCAGCTCGGTAGCACACGCCCTGCCCAAAATGTGCCTCAAAATGTAAGTATTTATGGCCTGACGCCGCACAGCACCGCTCTTGCCTTGACATCTGGAACAGATAGCCCAGTGGTTAAAGCGTTAGACCGTCACAGAGAAAATCTGGGTTCGATTCCCCAAACGGGTACAATGTGTGAAGTTGAATTGTTGTATCCTTTCCATATTTCTGCACTATTCCTAAAAACGGCGTAAAAGTAAACACACTCACTCACTCACTTACATCACTGAAACAAGGGCCAATTGTCTGTCATGTGTATGAAAGAAACTAAGTATTCATTTCAAATGTTTCCAGAAAGCCATTACAGTTGACAAGTGATATTTTAATAACACAGCATATAACTACTTACAAAACCTTCATGTACTGGAGACACTTATTGGGGAATTGATGTCTGATGTCAGCTCTTCACAATGTTTTCATTTTTGTATTATATAAATTGTTTTCGTCACGATATGGCCGATGTGACGTTAAATATTAACTCACTCACTCACTGTCTAATGTCAGCTGAATAATGTCTATCACTGTGTTTTTTAATCTAGTGGTCTGCAGCATTCCACATTCTCGAAGAGGGAGTTGTCTTCTCCTTTGTGGGGATTCTGTCAACAGAGGCTGCCCCACTGGTTATGCCTGCAAGTCGAATGGGTGCGGGGCTGAGTGCTTCAGAACAACATACACACAACCTGCAGGTAAGAACTGGTAACACACTTTCATAATATTAGCACCCGTGAATAATTAGACTTCAGCAACCCATGCTTGTGATAAGAGGCGACTAAGGGCATCGGGTGGTCAGGCTCGCTGACTCAGTTGATGCATTTCATCGTATCCCAGTTGTGAGGATCGATGCTCACGATGTTCATCACTGGATTGTCTTCCTCAAACACGGTTATGTACAGACTGTCGCCATATAGCTAGTATATTGCCGAGTCCGGTATTCTTTCACTGTTTACAGGATGTATGATGTACGTTCGCTGATTACAGATTGTCCGGTATTCGGTCACTGAATATAGATTGTCCGGTATTCGGTCACTGATTACAGATTGTCCGGTATTCGGTCACCGAATACAGATTGCCAGGTATTCGGTCACTGATTACAGATTGTCCGGTATTCGTTCACTGATTACAATTGGCCGGTTTTCGTTCACTGATTACAGATTGTCCGGTATTCGTTCACTGAAGATAAGGTTTCTCCTATTCGTTCACTGTCATTATGTTGTCCGGTATTCGTTAACTGTTTTCAGGGTGTACGGTATTCTTTCACTGTTTTCAGGTGTCCCCGTATTCGTTCACTGTTCACATGGTTTCCAGTACTCGTTCACTGTTTATAATAATAATAATAATAACTGGCCATTTATATAGCCCCTTTCCACGTTTACAGGGTGTACGGTATTCGTGCACTGTTTTCAGGGTGTACGGTATTCGTTCATTGATTACAGGGTGTCTGCTATTGGTTTACTGTTACAGGGTTTTCCATATTTGTTCACTGTTTACAAGGTGTCCCGTATTCGTTCACTGTTCACACAGTTTTCACTGCTTTATTTTCCTATATTGTTTACAGGGTGTCCAGTATTTGACTGCCAACTTCGCTGTCCACTGGGTTACGTCAGAGACTCTAAGGGCTGTGAATCCTGCAAATGTGACTATTCCGCTTTAGCAATAGGTATGTCATAAAATATTTGATACGCGTAAACAGATACATCCAATTCCATGTATTGTCCGTTTGGCTCAAAAGCGGACCGATGAATTGCAATCTAACTCGAAAACTAATAAACATAAAATACTCAATGAAACACTGATCATAATCAAAACCTCAGACCAACTCCGTGAGGTTTTTGCAGAATTTATGTCCTAAAATTAAAAAAGTTGTTTAACAAACTATCATTAAAATATCGACACAGTTCACTATTTGTTACGAGGGAGGAGTGCAGAGAAAGGGACAGCCAGGTGTGCGAGAAAGGATGGAGACGGGACAGCACAGGTTAATGAATCAATAACGTTGTCGGCACTTGCTTCTCTAACACCTGGCTGTCCCTTTCTCTGCACTCCTCCCTCGTAACAAATAGTGAACTGTGTCGATATATATAAAATTACCTCTATAACGTACACCAATGTAAAAGCCCATGTGTTTTAGGAACATATTGGGCAACGCAGTGATTAGAATGTTTGATCATCACACCTATTTCCTGTGTTCCCGCCGTGATGTAGTTGAAATATGACTAAAATCGGTGTGGATTACATTTTTATTTGAAACACATATATATTTATAACATTATTATTTGCAAACAGAAAATATCTTAAAACCAAATAAGAATAGGACTCAAACACAGATTCTCTCGAGGTGTACACAAGGAATGCCATGAAATATTAGATATGCTTTGATGTATGTCACTAACGGAATCCATAATCTCTTTTTACAGCACCTGGAAAGTGAACCGCTTTCAAAGCAGGAACTCTCATATTATCCACGTTAATCCTGTACTATTGGACCCATAAATAGTTTTGCATTATTGCGCTTTAGACGTTGTTTTTCATGATTTTAGAAAATACGTTCTGCCGACATCGGGCAGTGCAGTGACACAGACATTGAGTGAGTTTAGTTATACACCGTACTCAGCAATGGGGAACCGATGACAGGTGTCAACCAAGTCAGCGAGCCTGATCACCCGATCCCGTTAGTCGCCTCTTACAAGTATTGATTGCTGAAGATCAATTCTAACCCCGACCTTCACGGATACATGGTAGTTAAATATACTATGCGATATGGTAGAACTAACAGATTATTTTATATACACAAACGGTCTTATTCCATATTAAAGCAACCGCAACTAATATTTTGGATTTTATTAAAAAAAAGTTGAGACACCTCGGTAGCAATTAATAAATTCCAGCAACCGGTCACACCTACTTTGACTTAATCATATAACTGTGGCGTGGTTGATGTCAAAGATAGTTTTACATATTTAGGTATGGTATTCAATAAGTTTACAAAAGCAAGTTTACAAGTTTTCTCATCAAGGTAGAAAGGTTTTATTTGATCTAAATAATAACGCACGATCGTTGTATCTTAATCCTCAAACGATGTTTCCTGTTTTCGATTGCTATATTGGAAGTGTGCTATGCGTTTGAAGTATGGGGCTCCCGTAAGTCTGAACGTATCGACCGCCGCCATATAGCTGGAAAATTGCTGAGTCATGATTTAAAGAAATTGTACATTAAGCCTGGACAAATCCATCAGTTTTCAAACTTGTCCAGCTCTTAAGTGTCCGAAATGTTCAACAGCTCTGTAATTTTGGTAAATATATATTCAAGGTTAAGACTAAATTTATTGTAAAATCTATATTTTCTTCATATGCTTATATTGTACCAAACCAGCCACCCTGTCTGTACTAAAATGTAAATTCGTGCTCACCACCGATTAGCTCTACAGCTAAAGGTAAATGAAAAAATAGTTGTTAATTAAAACACGATGAGGTAATTTCACGACGATGTCGTGTTGGCCACAATAGGTATACACATGGCTATTTGCTCAAAACATACCCCCTAAGTGAAGAAGATCTTTATTCAGTATTATGGCCACATGACCACGAGTACAATTCAATAAACAAGATATAGCACATGGACAGGTGAAAAATTTACAATTTATACAGGTAAATATAGTTTAAGATAATTTGCAATATTTTTTAGAAGTTTTACATTCTGTGTTCCCAGCAACTAATTAAACTTAGATGTGGTTGGATATATAGTATAAAAATGTAAGTGTATCGCTTGCGATGAAGTGTTCACCATCAAGCAGAGTGGTCTGTATATGTTGTAACTATGTAACTTGTATGGTGAATTTCCTGTTTTGTAAGTTTAGCGTTAAGGCTTTATCGAGTTGTAAATAATACTGCAATGAAAACATATGTGTATGTATTTTAAAAAAAACCCCTTTAAACTTTGTACTTAAAATGTACTAGTGTATATATGCAGACTTAGTCTCGTTGCTATATTGTTGAAATAATGACGATGAGACTAAAGTTTTAACTCTCAGGCAAGTTCGAAGTTGTAGTCGTCTTTTATCAACTTCCACGTAAATCATGTTGCATGTTTTGAAATTGGTAATTTTGGATTGCTTTTATTCTTAATTTCACATACCAGGGCTGATATGTAAAGATTTATTTCTTCAACTTCACAACAAATGACACCATAGATGTAAAATTGATGTACAACACTAGATAAGAGCATTTATAGTTCATTACTAGTTATTTATTTGTATCTTTATGTTCTGTGAGAAGGAAAATGATAGTTTCTTTACGTGATTATCCAGTTGTTTTACTGTTTTGCCCCTCATAGAAGGTACCGAAATATACATCTTTAATATCATCGTATACAAATGAAAGGCATGAAATGCGATGCAAATGTTGAAGGCAGGCATTCAATATGCCATTTAGAAATCGACCAATGAACATCACTATATGACTGCTTCATGAAATACGTCGAAACTTGCAGAGTTGGACACGTGTATGCACTGGGCTGTTTTGCCTTGAAGATTGTGGAAAGACAGTACGTTCAGAACTGTAGTTGCCTATTGATGTTAAACATTTTTGTTTTTCTGTATTTAGAGGAAGGGTACAAAGTGGCATTTTGATATTTCCCAGGCAGAGTCAAGTAACGTTCACTTAAATTTAAATTCTCCCCGCGGGTCTGACCGATTCTGAGGACGATGGTGCAGTGCGCGACTGTCTGCTTCCTGCTTCTGTTTCTAAAGTGCACTCATGGGGTTATGAAAGAGTATTTCTTTTGTCGGAAAGATATGTCTGAAAGGCAGCTGTCACTGGAAGAACGAACGAACTTAATAGCTACCGCGGTAGAGTATACAAACTCTGTGGATGATAAGAAAATGACCAAAAAACCTCGATCTTTGCACGCAAATGGACAGATTTGGGAGCTGATGTGGTCTGAAGATTTGGTTGGAATTGACATCAAAGAGAGGGTAAGTGTAACGCTCGGGTCAGAGCCAAATGTCCCTCAGTTTAGTTAAAACCGAAGCAGTCAAACAGCATACTTGTTGATCCTATATTGGCTTAATTTAGTTTTATGTTGAACAAGAGTGAATAGGTATATAACGTATTTCTTGTACATATGAACCCTGACTTGCGTTTTAAGCATTGTCCTTGCGTGGTGGAGGTCAGCGCTCTATAAATACTCTTCTTATTACCTATTGGTTACAAACACGTTTACCCATGCTTGGCGTAATTGGCGACATGCGGCTCGTGACTTGGCTGACACATGTCATCGTATCCAATTGCATAGATTGATGCACATGATGTTGATCACTGGATTGTCTGGTTCAGACTCGATTATTTACAGACCGCCGCCTTATAGCTGGACTATTTTTGAGTGCGTTTTTTATGAACAAACAAAACAAAAATAAAAATAGAATAAAATAGCATGTGTCTCACTACTTGCGGTTGTGACGTTTTAGATGCCCATGAAGAAACGTTCCCTTCATGTCCTGGTGTCTTCCGTGGATGACGAAAGACTGGAATGATACACCTACCCCAATATGACAAGGATGCCAGCTGTCCAGAAGAAGAAGACACACAGCACATCTGATATCCGCTTCAATCCTTACACCAGTGATGTGTATTTCCTCAATCGCTTTGATGGGACGTGTTATATTACGCCTATTCGCAAATCCAGTGAAGCGTCCAGTCACAGGCCAATGTGCGCAGCCAGTCTGATGCCAGGAGGTGAATGTCTATTTTCTTTTTGAGGGTGTATTAATATGTTTATTTGGAGAAAGATGAGATTCTGTACATGCACTGCTAAATGAAAACGCTAGAGAGAGGGAGAGGGGGGTGGGGAGGGGGTTGGGGAGAGAGTGTACTAGTATTTCAGCCATACCGTGACTATGAATATTTCGCATACACAGTAATTACATGTTGTTTTGAAGCATTTTGTCATCCAGGGACTGTGAAATAACTAGACTTTCGACATTCGTTTTTAAACTAGTATGTAACATATTCCATCATATGCAACGGTACAATTGGTCTAGAAGCCAGACCCCCAAAATGGTGAAAAAGTGGTCAGTCTGACCACCAAATGGGATGTGATTTTTCACTATCAGGAATGATATAGCTTTGATTTAAAGCCGGTTGTCATCAGCTACCGTTCTGTGACTACCGTGCAGGGGCCATTTTAAGGTGCAACATGTCATGTCAGTTATGGCAATATTTTAACCGATAACTGGATGGTTTAATTTAATAACTCTCGTTTGGATTGACCGATTTTCATCAAAATAGTAGTTTTGGAATGCTCAGATCATGATTTAAACTTGTGGACAATAACATTACATATATGCCCATCGCAAAAACTTTTGGTAAGGTCACAGGTCAATTTTAATAAAAAGGGCATTTGAAGAGAAAATATGAGTTGAACTTTACAAATTAAACGTAATTTTTTCCAAAATTATGTTTTTCTAATTCAGCTATATTATTTGAAGATCATATATACCTTCGGTTGGCACTGTGTGCATGAAAAAAACTATTACAGGGGAACAAAAGTTGGTACTTTGTATTTAGATTAGCAAAATATTATATTATGTCTTTTCAACAGTAAGAGCTCCATGCTTTACATAGTCAACGATATCAAATATGTCGAATATACTGTTGGTTTTTCATTTAACATCCAACAACATAGCAGAAAGCTTTGAAGAAAATCGGTCGAATTGTTCTGAAATATTGTCTTTTAAGTGAGTATGGGGTCAGTCGAGAAAAGGCAAAATGTCCAACTTTTTGTCGTAATTAAATTTTAATTAATCTAATGAAGTCATCGAGAGTGTTCCCAATGCCATTTTGCTATAGCGTAACCATCTGCAGATATGTATGCAAACAATCGGTCAAATAGTTTAGGAAATAATCACTTTTTAGTCACCATGTGGTTGGTTTTGCGAAAGGCTAACAATCCAAGGTATTGTCGTACTTGTTATATATCATCGAGGCGAGAGGTGACGGTCACGGTGGTTTCCTGTTGTATGTCGTTCGACGTTAACCCGAACGTTTTAGCCAACGGCCAACTGAGTCTCAAGTCGTATTTTCCGTTGTTGGCTAACATGACCATGCCATTTGAGTCGTTCATTTTGAGTTCGGCTCCCACGGGTTTGAAGATTTCTTCGTTGAGCAAGCACACGCTGTAGTAGCCGTCCTTTATTTGGTTGCGGGCGTTATTGATGAACAGCCTGTTGTTTTTGCCATTGATGATGGTCCATCGCGGGTAGTAGGTCATATCGCAGAGCTGGACTTCGAGCTGGCCGGACATGTTATCATTTGCGTGCAGCAGTTGAATGGACTCGCCGCTCGTGATTCGCGGAAGTGTCACAAACTTATTGAAAGAGTAGATATTTATACTATATAACAGTTTAAATATGTACAAACCGGGAGTGTTTTATTCTAAAAGTGATAATATAAGTGCTACCTAACTCACGCAACCCAGTATTGTGGTCTATGCAAAGGATGGTTTACATTTC